AGCCTTCCAGGTGCCAGCCCGGCCCCCCGCATCCAGTACAAAAAGGAGAAGCAGGCGAGTGGGGGGATGCCCAGGTCCCCCAGCCGGGTCCCAGCCCCCGGCGCCTTGTGCTGGGTAGGAAATCCTCACCCCGGGCCTGCCACTGCCAGGCCCCACGGGGGACAGTGGGGGCACCTGGGGTGGGCAGAGGGCACAGTCCAAGACCCACATCGCCCACCGTCCCCGGCCCCACTGCTCTCCAGCGCCCCCTACAGTCCTTCCTGGAGACACGCAGGTCTTGGGGGGAGGAGCCTCCCTGGGTCACGCCCCTCTCTGGAGCCCCGCCCCCTGAGAGGCGGGCACCAAACCAAGCCACACCCCCTGGGCAGCCGGCTCCTATTTAACGGAGGGAGTCCGCTCGATGCCGTACTTGAGGAGGTGGCTGAGGTCCGTGAGGGCGTGCGGGTGTGGGTGTGCCCGCGGGGCCCCGCCGGGCCGGCCATAGCCCCCCTGCGCCTCGCCGCTGTTGAACGTGTGGTTCCTCTTGAGGTGGGCAGCCGCCTTGCTGGCTGCATTGTTGCTGTTGAAGTTCAGCTTGTCGGGGTTCCAGGGGCTGCCCTCGCAGAAGTCCCCGGCCTCCCCGCCGGGCGCCGACACCACCCGGCGCCGGTCCGGGCTGGCATGCGGCGTGATGGGGAACTCGCCGTAGGAGCCCCTGCCCACGCCGGGCCGGTGGGAGGCGGGGGGCTGCGCCGGCTGGGGCCGGGGCCCCTCGCCATGCTCGAGGCCCCCACTCACCGGCAGGTAGTGCATGTCCATGGAGGAGTCGCTCCCCTCGTCCTCCAGCTCCTGGTCCATGAGCACAGAGCGGCAGGCCATGGGCATGCCATGCCCGGCCCGGATGTGGGGGGGCCCCTGGGGGTGGCCGGTGTGAAGCAGGATGACAGAGGAGCCGGGGCAGCCAGGGTCCCGCAGGGAGGCGTTGATGAGGTTGTGGCTCTGCTCCCACTTGCAGTTCTTGAGGCTGCCAGGGCAGCGCTTCTGCTGCAGCGGAGTCTGCTCGGGCGTGGGCAGCACCCCCGAATCCAGGTCGGGCTGCCCCACCTTGAGCAGCCCCTTGGGCCAGCCGTTCTGCATCAGCGGTGCCAGCAGGTTCTCGGGGGGGCCGGGCCGGGGCCGCCGCTCGCCCAGACGGCTGACGCTCACCACTGACTCGCTGTGCGCCAGGATGTTCTCCTTGTCGCGGCGCCGCGCCAGCTCCTTGCGGTCCCGGTGCCCGATGAACCAGCACACGCTGAAGCCCGAGATCACCGCGCCGATGACGAAGGCAGCCACCGAGGAGATCACCAGCAGGTTCACCGAGACCAGCCCGTCCGGCTCGTCCATGAAGCTCTCGGTCACCAGCCCTGGCGGGATGGAAGAGTGGGGCATGAGTCAAGAGGGGCACGAGGAGAGGAGGGCACCGTGAGGATGGGCGTAGGGTTGCCCACTCAGAGAGGACAGCTGGGTCACGCCACCGCTGGACGTCCTCATACAGCTGGATGCGCACCAATGGCTTAAAGTTACGGCACAGGAGATTTAGGCTGGACATTGGGAAACCGTTAGGACAGGGAGGCAGCGAGAGATGCCAGGGAAGGGGGCGACTCGCTATCACTGGGGAAGTCAGGACTGCCACCGGCTGGGGGTGATCCAGGCTCCGCGATGCCTGTGTTCTGCTATAGGGGTTTCCAAGGCTTCAGGGTTTGCTGGGTGCCCCCCTCCCCTTTCTGCTCCATGTGTCAGGGGGGGTTAAGCCCTCCTTCAGCTGCATCAGGTGTTGGTTGCAGCCGAGGCTGGGGAGGGTGACTGGGCTGTGCCAACGCTCCTGCTGGGACCAAAGCTGGAGGGTCCCATCTGTCCCACTGCTCAGGGTCACAGTGATGCCATGGGTTGGTCGGGAAGGAATTTTACCCCCTGGTCAGACTGGTACAGACTGGGGGGTGCCTTCCTCTGTAGTGGGGGGGATCTCCTGAGCGCCGATTGACAACGGGTCATAGAAGCAGGCTGCTAGCTGGCACGGTGCCCCTGCTTCATCTGGGGCAGCGAGGTCTTGTGCTGAGGCAGGGCTGATGGTTCACTTTGCGAAGGGTTTAGATGATGGTTTGTTTGGACAGGGCTGGTCCTGCCTTCGGCAGGGGTTGCTCTAGCTGTGACCTCTGGAGCTCTCCTTCAGCCCCACATCTCTATGATTTCCATGCCCACCAGGACCTGGCAGTGGGAACTTCCTCCCAGCCATGTCCTGGCCATGCCAACCAGCCCCATGTGCCCCCTCCCAGCCTTGTTGGCTGTATTGTGCTTACCCTCGCAGTCCCCGAGGTGGGAGGTGCTGCCGCCTGCGATGTCCTGCTCAAATGCAGCTCTGTGGGAGGGAATGGGTCTTGTTACGGGGCAGTGACTGAGCTGGGGGCAAAGGGTTGGGGGGGGGGGCATGTGACAGCCGACCCCGGTCTGGCCCCTGCTGGCAGTTACAGGCCCCAAGCACGGGAGGTTGATGGGCAGGGTGACCCCTGCTAGGAGGTGTGGGAGCAAAGGGCTCAACATAGGACCCCAGAGAGATGCTCAAAGCGGGTCCCCCCTGTCCACATCCCCCACCCCTGGGGCTCAGTGTGCAGCTAAGAGGGGGGGGCAGAGGCACCCCCCAGCAGCCCCCACTGCTCTGCGGGTCAGCACCGGCCACCGGGGCTCTTAACCCCTGTGCAGCCAGATCCCACATGCTCAGCTCCCGGCCCCCAGCCTGGCGGCATCGCCTGGCTCGGTCTCACCTGGTGTTGGCTTCCAGGAAGAGGCAGGAGCCCTCGGGGGTCCAGCCGCAGTAGGGGTCCCGGCTCCCAAGGCAGTTCCTGAAACCCAGCAGGGAGGGGGTTAGACAGGCCCACAGGGCAGCATGGGGATGCCAGGCACCCTGTCCCCCTGGGGGGGCGCTCCTGAGGTGCCGTGGCCCACGGGAGCAGCCCCCAGCACCCAAGGGCTCGGCTGGGACAGGAGCAGAGGTGGCAGGGGGCTGTGGGGTAGGGAGGGAGTGCAAGGGGCTTCCTGGGCCATCCAGCTGGGTCCCTGTGCTACAGAGGATGCAATGCCCTTGGTCTGAGCCCCTCCTGCCCCGGGAGG